TTTATAATTTTAAGTAATATAGACAAATAAAGTGCACGTGGCGGGTTACATTGGAAAAGATAAATCGATCAGTCCACCCGTAAGACTGGAATTGAAAATTGAAAGGCGTAATTTTCGAAAAAAAAAAAAAAGTGAAAAACCAGAAGAAAAGAGAAAAAGGTGGAGAGAGTCTTGTATTGAAGGCCACACAAACGAAGCTTCGGGCCTTCCTCTGCAAATAAAAAGCAGAAAGCGAAAGGAAAGGAAAGGAAAGGAAAGGAAAATCAAATACTACAACTCGAAAAACAGGATTTCATTTCGTCAAATCCAATCTAGGAAGGTGATCGGAATCGGATTGTGGAGATGTCGTGTTCGTCGTCGTCGGGGTCGGAAGAAGACGATGAGGGAATTGACTCCTACAGGAAAGGTGGCTATCACGCTGTGAGAATCGGCGATCCGTTCAACGCTGGCCGGTATATCGCTCAGAGGAAGCTCGGATGGGGTCAGTTCTCCACCGTCTGGCTCGCCTACGATACTCAAACCTCCGTAAGTCCATTTCCAATGTATAATTCTGCATTTAAAACGTATTGCATCTCTGAATGAATTTCCTCTCTTCGCTTACTGTTTCCGATCGTGTTTGAGCTGTTGAATATCGGAATTAGAGTTTTTGGAGTTTTTCTTTTTCTTCTGTAATCTTACTTCCCTGATATCCTCCATTAATGCGATAAAGATTTCATTTTGATTATTTGATGGTGGAGCTGGAGTTATTTAAATAATTAGAGATTAATTGATTCTTTGTTAACTTTTATGTATTATTTACTTTTTTGGGATATACTGGTCTTATGTACTGGTGTTTCTAAGGAAGATAGATTCTTATTATTATTATTTTTTATCTTGGTCCCCCTCACATCCCTTAATCCCACCCCATCAACATCTCATGAGACTCGAACTTAGAGCCTCTTACTTCCACGGGAAGAAGATTACCATAAAGTTACTTAGGTTGCTGGTTGCTGGCAAGGAAGATAGATTCTTTTCCCCTTTGAGTTTTTATTATTTATATACCGTTTTGAGTTTTGACCTTTTTAGGCCAGTAATATTAATGCTTCCATTACTCATGGATCTCTGACCATACTCTCCAGGTGTACTCTTTGGGACAATGTTTGACAAAAATTCTTTAGATTTTTTTTTTTTAAACAATAACCATGATGGATAAACCTTAATTAAAATGAGAATGTGAACATTTGCATTCTATTTTCTATTTTCTAATACTAGGATATACAATATTAATCTAAATGCAACATGATACAATATTTTCTAGTACTCTAGTGAAAGGAAAGGGGCAGGGCATCTGTTTTTAAGTATGGTCTCATGCTTGTGTGCGTGCATTTATATATTTGATAATAAGTGAAATTTACATCTTAACTAAAAGGGTAAGGATGGATTAGAGGTTTTGGGTTAATTATTATTATCATCATCATCATCATCATCATCATCATCATTGTCATTGTCATCGTTGTCATCATCATCATCATCATCATCATCTCTAGCTAGTTGATATATTGAGTTGGTGAAAGTTTTCCATTTATATCTGGTGTTGGAAGCCAACTATTGCTGCACTCCACTTTTTCTTCCTCATACCTATGCGCATTTGAAGTTTTGAATGCATATTGTTGTGTAGCCATGTGACAGAGACCTTTGACAATAGTATGTATGAGCTGAATGGGTCTGATTGAGCGGTTATATAACCTTTAAAATAAAGGAGAGAAAAAGAAGAAAAGGTGTATGCATTTTGTTCTTCCTTGCATAAATCTGGAGTAGCTTAACTCTATAATCTAAAATTCCATTTTTCTTTTCTATGTTTACAGAAATATGTTGCTCTTAAGATACAGAAAAGTGCACAGCAATTTGCTCAAGCTGCTCTTCATGAGATTGAAATCCTTTCAGCTATTGCTAATGGTGATCCCTCAAATTCCAAGTGTCTGGTGCGACTGGTCGACCATTTTAAGCATATTGGTCCAAATGGTCAGCATTTATGCATGGTCCTTGAATTTCTTGGTGATAGCTTACTTCGATTAATCAGGTTTAACCGTTACAAGGGACTTCAATTGAATAAAGTTAAGGAGATTTGCAAATGCATTTTGATTGGCCTTGATTATTTGCATAGAGAACTCAGTATAATCCACACTGACCTAAAGCCTGAAAATATTCTTCTCATTTCTACCATTGATCCTACTAAGGATCCATTTAGATCTGGTCTTACCCCAGTTCTGGAAAGACCTGAAGGGGGAACCCTAAATGGTGGATCTGCCATGAATATCATTGAGAAGAAGTTGAAAAGGAGGGCAAAGAGGGCAATTGCGAACATATCTGGGAGAAGAGGTTCGCTAGGAGGAGAAGTTCCAAAGCTTGAGAGATCTCTAGATGGGGTTGATGTCAAGTGCAAGGTTGTGGATTTTGGAAACGCATGTTGGGCTGATACACAATTTGCAGAGGAAATTCAAACAAGGCAGTACAGAGCTCCTGAAGTCATACTTCAAGCTGGACATTCCTTCTCTGTGGACATGTGGTCTTTTGCTTGTACGGCCTTTGAGCTGGCTACTGGTGACATGATGTTTGCCCCAAAGGGTGCACAAGGCTTTAGTGAGGATGAGGTAAGATGGTTTTGCTCACCAAGCTTCCAAATTGTTATTAGAGAGGCCATGCATTCCAGGTTAAATCATTCCCATTGCATGCTATGTTTTAGAAGACAAAAGTAGATGCCATAGGGTATGATGAGAATGATATACTGTTTTTGATGCTGTATTATGTAAACGTTGCATGAAATCTTAATTATGTAGGCTTCTCATTGCGCATTCTAGATTGCACTCAATGCAGCACTTGGCTTAGATTAGAATACGAATCTTAATAGTGAATCTGGACTTTCATTGATCATTTATTTTCTTTGCTGCTGGACTTTCATTGATCATTTATTTTCTTTGCTGCTGGACTTCTTAGATAATTCAAAGTGGATGGTCAGAAAGAAAGATAGTCATCCATCATAAATGATCCTGTGATTTTAGTCAGAACAGCAAGTTAGTTAAATAGTCTGAATGTCCCATGGGTTTAAGGATAGATACTTTTCTTGACTAAATATTATAATATTTTTTACTGAAGTTTCTTGTTTTATTTATTCATAGCCACCTAATGACTACTACCACTGTGGAATCATCTACAAGCAGCTTCTTAAATGACATTCTTAATTATTCTTTTTGATTTGCTTTTATTATGAGCATGCCAACTAGTAAACCCTGGGCCATGTTTATGGAATGTTAATAAAAGAGATAAACTACAGTGAGTAATGGGAATAACATTCTCACTTTGTTGCTTTCAGGATCACCTTGCTCTCATGATGGAACTCCTTGGGAAGATGCCTCGGAAGGTAAAATAAATGTCTGCATTAGCGCTTCCTTGAGTTTATATGATTACTTGTATACCCATTTTTCTCTTATGTTTGTGTTAGCAGATTGCCATTGGAGGAGCTCGATCCAAGGATTACTTTGACAGGCACGGGGACCTGAAGAGAATTCGAAGGCTGAAGTATTGGCCACTGGATCGATTGCTGGTGGATAAATACAAGTTCTCCGAGACTGATGCCCGTGAATTTGCTGAGTTTTTGTGTCCTCTTCTTGATTTTGCACCAGAGAAGCGACCAACAGCTCAGCAGTGTCTTCAACATCCATGGCTTAACCTCAGGACTTCAACTCATGATGAGATGGAGAATCAGCCTAATGTGAAGAACTTAAATGTTGGGATTAGCAGCCTCCAGATTAAGGTGGGCAAGTGAAGAAGGAATCAAGATGTCGGCACAGCCACATTGTTTTCAAGTCCCCCCCTCCACCATTACAAGTATTGATTGCAACTTATCTTTGGTTTCTTACATTTTTAATGAGGTCTATTTTTTGATTAATGATTAACTAAATGTAAAGTAGTAATCATCTCCACGAGGAAGTGACATGGACTAGGTAAAACTTTAACTGAGATAACCAAAAATGATGACCAAATTGGCAATTGCCGATGGTGGCACATACAGGATTTGTTCTGCAATTGTTTTAGTTGATGCTCTGGAGTACTACATTTCTGATGTAAAGTTATTCTTTCGAAACGTTTTCGGAGCTGGTTGTTTTGTGAATTCATATAGAAAATTAAGTTTTTATAATTGGAACTCATCAATGTTGTTGGGTTTTTCTTTCTTTTCCTTTTTTCTTTTTTCCTTTTTTTTTTTTATTCTTTTTGTATGTGTGTAAATGTTGAATTGCATAATTGCATTCTACATGTACAATCATGATGAACTTTTCTTTATTCGTATATTGGCATGTACATTCCAGGCACAACGCATAACTAATACGTACAGGCCTGGTCCAGCACTTCGGGGCTACTAGCCCCTCCTTACAGGACATGCTTAGGACTACTAAGTACTAAGACCTGGACATGCTTAGGACTACTAAGACCTGAGTACTAATTCCATATCTCTTTTCTCTTTTCCTGAAAAAATTTCCCATTGTTCAAAAAAAATATATATATATGAACAGGCCTGAAAACAACGCAGCATGAAAAAGAGCAAGGAAACAGAGTATATGTAATGTCACCGTAATGGTGTGGACAAATAATGTGGTGCTTGAAATTGCTGGAATAAAGGGAAACAGCAGTGGTGGACCCTGAGACATTTTGTTTCGTGCTCATTACTGTTAGTTTTCTTCCTCCTCCCTTACGCAGTCCCCATGCCGCTATAGGTACAGTGTACTGGTCCCAAGGCTACTGCATTGACAAATGACAAGGTACCCAACAACCAAAAGGAAATTAATTGAAGGCAGTACCTTATTGGAGGCAATACCTTGCGTTAGGTCCCTAAATTTACTTTAAATTTTTTATTAAACTTTTAAATCTTTATTAAAGTAAATAAATTTTTGTACTTAATGATCTAAATAATTTAATTATTTTTCTTATATCAAATTTAACATCAATTTGTATCTTATTTGCATTGATAAGATCAATATTCATCATATAGGTACATATCAATATCTTATCCATGCAAGTGATGTATAAACAAATGTTAAGTATGCCATAAAGAAAATAGTTAAATTACCTAAATTATCAAGTTTAAAGGTTTAGTTGCTTCAATAAAAGTTCAGGGACTCAATCAAGAATCTGGATTAAGTTTGGGGGCTTAATGTAGGTTTTGCCTTAATTGAAAGGCCTAAATGTAGAGGCTGAATACTGGAATTTGAGAGTGAAGTCAAATTTTTCTTGGACCGTCGATCGTGTGGGAGTCACAGTACAGCCCACCACCAATCATGATCCCAACAAGGCAAAAACCATTCTTAAGCCACTAGACTTGCCCCATATTAGCATTTAAGCCTTTGAACTAAAAACGATGCAATTAAGCCCTTCAACTCCTCAGCTGGTGCAAATAAGCCCTTCAACTTAGATCTGTACTAAAAGTGTGACACCTAGATTATTGTGTTGACACTCTAAGTAGTTTTCAATTTAGAAAACTTGTATTTTTAATTTAATCCTATTTTTTTGGTACTTCCTTTTGCCTCAATTTATTTGGAATTGATTTGAGTCATATCTTATAAAGAAAAAACTCTTTTAGTACCTATCTCTTTATTTATAAGATTCAAACTTGAAACATTGTTTAAGAAAAACTAAGATCTTTTTATTTAAATTCAAAGGTCATTGAGAATTCTGTCATACATTTCTTTTAGAGTTTTTTTTTTTAATAAATCAGAATTTGGAGTTTAATTGTAAAATAATTACATATCATATTTTCATTAATAAAAGTTGAGGATACCACATACATTGTTCATGAGTTATACATTACAAAAGAACAATGTAAGTGGTATCTTCAATTTTTATTAATGTAAATGAGATATGTAATTATTTTAAAATTAAACTCTAGATTTTAATATATTTAAAAAAACTCTAGTAAAAAAGTAGGACAGAATTCCAACATCCTTTGGATTTAAAAAAAAAAAAAAAACTTAGTTTTTTTAAAATAAAATTTCAAATTTTAGTCTTATAAATAAAAAGATAGGATTTTTTCTTTATGAGATATTACTCGAATTGATTCCAAATTAATTGGGGCAAAGTGAAGTACCAAAAAAATAGAATTAAATTAAAAATACAAGTTTTCTAAACTGAAAACTACTTAGAGTATCAACACAATAATATAGGTGTCGGCACTTGGCAACAAATCTAAGTTGAAGGGCTTAATTGCATCGTTTTTAATTTGAGGGCTAAAATGCTAATTTGGGGTAAGTCAACGGGCTTAAGAAGCGTTTTTGCCTCCCAACAAACACAAACTAGTTTTCTGCTATAAATTGGCTTGTTCTCTGAGATTGTTATTTAAATATTCAAGTTTTCAGATCTTATGTAGTCTGGTTTAAGAACAAAACAACAAGTTCCAGCCAAGAAACAGAGTAGCTTAAGTTTCTTGAGGAGTATTGATTAATTGCCAGTGTAGCAAAGACCCAGATTGGTTGGTTGGGCGGGCATGACCAGAGCAAGTGGTTTAGGACAAGAATGTGAGTAAAGGCTTTCAGATTGACTTTTGTTCCCTGTATTAATATTATTGCTAACAAACCATGTGAATTCTCTGTGCCAATATTAAGGCATGGATCTACCATCTTAACTACAGGAGAAATTCTAGTGTTTCTCGAATACTTCTAATGGTATTGAAGCCAATAAGAACATGACATGTCAACATGAGATGCTGAGGTGTCATCATAACTCAATGATGCCTCGACCACGCTGAGGTGTTATTTTCCTATTGGTTTGGGATACCAAGCTCAGTGATATTACTGAAGGGTGAACACAGGGTTCTGTTGAATGTCAACCCTTGTTCTGGACATACTCACTTTCTCCAGAGAATCATGCTGCATGGAAGTGTAAACAATTTGAGATGGATCTTCTAACATCTTTTAACAATCTACAGTATTCAGTAGCTACTACTGAAACATATACTCAAACGTTTCAGAAACATCATTCCAACAAAGATATCTCGACTCACCAAACTCATAGCGAGAAAGCTGTGGAATACTGAAGTTGACAGAGGGATAATTGATTTTCCCATCATAAATGATATTTACGTGTAAAATGAACTTGATTAAACATCAGCATACATATTTGAAGGCCAATATGTATATATATATATATATAAGAAAATGCTTGATGAAATTTGATCTGCACAGATATATAGGATAATAAAATAAATCAGAGAGCAGTGACAAGTAATACTGGAAAGCTTCGTTGGTCATCTGTGTAGATCATGATGCCGGTAGTTCAATTCAATTGGAAACAAGATGATGAACGATAACCATTGTCTCTTGACTATGATTAAAATGTCTTGCTACTTCAGCAACATCTACTTAATGAATCTCCTTCATTAAACTCATAACATTATGAAAACTGCTCCTTCCATTAATAACATACTTAAAACAGCAGCAATGAAAGCCGTTCAAAAGTCTGATACAACATGAATTTCAAAGATAAAGAGTACATAATAAGAAACTATACACCTATCATCATCCCCAAAGCGGGATGAAAATGCCAAAAAAAGGGGAACAAAAAAAAGGAAAATCAACTAGCAGCTATCTGATTTATTGCATAACTCTCCTCTCCTATCACAGCTTCAAATACTGCTGTTATTTTGTGCATCGCCAATGTTTGAAATGTAAACTGTAGATGCGAGCAACTCAACATTTAAATATACAGCCAGCCAACTCCACAAACCCAAGGATGAGCAAAAAGATAAATGAAATAAAGACGATCCTATAAATGAGCTTCTTGAATCCTACCTCAACTATCAACTTCTATCTTTGAAGCCATCTGTCACAAGAGTGGCAGTGGAACATTATCATTGCATGACTTTGTTTTGTTTGATACATGCAGGGGCCTTAAACTCCTGGCATTTCCACATTGGTGGTGCCTCCATTGAAATAACTCCATCAGCAGATGGCTCCAGAGAAAACATGGGTTTACTACCAGAAGCAGGATTGCCCACATTCTTATCTGTCAACGGAGAGGTTTTGGTAGTCATATCTTCCTTGGGATTCACTTGATCCCTATACGAACAAATGCTTAAGGGCAATTTTTTCAGCTTCACCCTTCCCCTCTTTTTACCTGGGGAATGTGTATCTTCACAAGGTTTTTCCTTTGAATAACTCGATTCTGCTTCTCCATTACCTAACTCTGGTTGTCCAGTTGTATCATATTTGGCTTCGTTTGCATCTTCTTTAACAGAAACCTCTGGAGTGGAGTCATCAGAGTCAATAACACCTGCCACAGCATAGCCATTGCTAGTGGATGGTGGGCTCCTTCTCAAAACCAAGCTCCCATTGGAAACTTTTGCTTTATCGTGAGTAGGCAAACTCTTTGGCCTTTTATGTTTATGCCCCTTCCATTCAGAACTTGATGAATTCCTCGAAATTCTTGGAGAGCTGTTCATAACTCGATGCAACCTACGGGCCAAGTCTTCATCTGTCCTATGATTCTCAATGGGACGGTGCTTCTTGTACAAGAGTTGAACTGGAACATGCTTCTTCAGCTTGTTCTTTTTTAGGTGTCTGTCCCTGCTTGCCGTCTCTTCAGAAAATGATGCTACCAAGTCCAAAGCACTCTTAGCTGCAGCCCATGCTTTTGCTGCAATTGCAGCCTTCTCCTCTGCAGCAGCTCTGGCAGCCTCAGCAACCTTAGCAGCAGCAATCGCTGCTGACCTTGAGGCCTCCAAAATCTCCTCAGGAGAAAGATTTGTGTCATGCACATGGGAAGTCAATAATTTATTAAGGTGGGTGTTATAATCACTTGAAGAAGAACAAGTAGAAGGCGTAGGTGATGCTGGAGAATCTGTAGATGGTGTAGCAACAGTAGGTTGTTCTGGGACACCGTTACTATTGGAACTTTGCTTCTTGAATCCTGCAAGCAGTCGCTTACGTGGAGGCAGAAGTGCATCAGCATCTAAGTGATTGATGTCACAAATGTTAGCTTCCATTTCCGACCGTTCAAATCTAAAACAACCCGGTGGCGAGTAGTTCTCTACATGGATAATTGAACTGCTCCAATCACATCCAATCTAAAACAACAACAATAATCACAGATTCAATTTTAAATCCATACCTTAAGCCCAAGATGAAATCTGATTTTTCTAGTAAAAGAAAAGAGAATCTAAAAAACCCTATCAAAGTATTGTTCTCAAAGCCAAATCAATTCAACCAGTCTCCCAAAATAAATCAGAATCCAATAATGCTTCATCCATTGCCAAGAACCCATGAACATAGGAAAAAAGAATCGAAATTGAAACCCTAAAGTTTCTGTTACATCAGAATCAAAACACTATATACACAGCTAAATCTTCCCACAATCAGGTTTAAAAAGGTTCAATAATTTGTTCTACATCTTCAAACCCATATAGTATATCCAAGCACAAATGCTAAACCTTCTCTGCAACATAATTCAAGATCATATTAGATTCAAACGAAACCAGAAAAAGATAAAAATCATAAAACCACCAAAATTCATCCATTTCCAGACTGAAAGCAGAGAATTAAAAAAAGGTGAACATCCATCTATAATGCTAAAAGGTGGATTCAATCAGATTTCACATAATTTGAATGGAAAACAAACATTTCCATAACAGGGTCAGTTAAAAGATTGAATTTTGATTCAATACCTGATCATGGGTTATGAATTAGTTGGAAACAGAGGAGAGTTGGGGATGGAATTAGGGTTTTTTTACACGATGGAGGAGAGGAGGAAATCCAAGGAAGGAGAAAGAGAAGATCTTTATGTTACATATTTATGCTGGAAGATTTTCCATTGGTTGTGCTTCTAGAAGATCACTACTCTAATCCCAATTTTTCTTTTTTTTTAACTACAAGTATTATTTTTCATTTTTATTACCAAAATGGAAAAGGCTACTGTTTCTTACAAGTATCCCTGTTCTTGGCCCTTATCTACCTAATTGCCATTTTTGATTCACCATGGATGTTGAGTTTTAAGCTTCCTTGTTATCTTGTCTTGGCCATGGGTCATACAAACTCTTAAGAGTACTTGTGGACAATATCATGCAAAATTGTATGTTAACGCTTTAAATTTATCTTACATTTTTAATTAAATTTTTTATTTTTATTAAAATAAATAAGCCTTTCAATTTAATAATTTATATAATTTAACTATTTTCTTTATATTATATTTATCTATATTTTACTTACAAACAATAATAATACTTATTATATAAATAATAATATGTCAATACTTTATTAACGTAAGTAATGCATAAATTTGTTATAAAAAAAGAGTTAAATTATTTAAATTATCAAATTTAAAAATTTATTTATTTTAATAAAAAATTAAAAATTTAAGATAAATTCAAAGTTTAATAGAGGGTTTTACTAGAACATTACACATGAAATTCTTTGTCTTTAATTTATTTTCTTTAACAACCTCTTTGCATTCTTTTGTTTATGGATTGCATATTTATTTTGAGTTAAAATAAAGGATATGGGAGTAATTTTCTTTACTCAATCAAATGTGAAATCCGGTTTTTTCTTTCGATGAACCAAATGTGAAGTCATTAATAGCCTAAGAGTCTAAGGGTGTTAGGTTCTGGAGGTTGGAAAACAACCATATTGGTTAATATACTCATGATTATAAATAATAATATTAATTATTAATTATTAATTACATTAAAACTGCTAATCTAAATGCTTTGTAATATTTTGGCCAAACTCTCTTATTTGTACTTAAGTACATCATTTTTTTAAACTTTTTTATTAGCACCATACACATTTTTTTTTCTATGATTAATACCTTTATATATTTTAATTAATAGGATTACGAAAAATCAAGACTATTTAACAGTTTTGACAAGATCAAAATCATTATCATGTGGCTTCCATACTGGAGTCTACGTGGAGACCATACGATGGATGATCCTGATCCTACCAAAACTACTCGGCAATCATGACTTTCGTTTTCTATTAAGTTAATATCATTCATAATTTAAAACTTATAAAAAAAATTAAAAATTAATAATCAAACCCTTTATTTATTCCCTAATTCTGTTATTATTTAAAAAAATTTTAATTATAACAAAATTAGGGGATAAATAAAGGGTTTGATTATTAATTTTTAATTTTTTTTATAAATAATATTAATCAATAATAGAAATTATAAAAAATAATATATAAAGTATTAATAAAGAGTTTGGCCTAATACTTTTATGCTTTTTATAAATAATATTAATCAATAATAAAAATTATAAAAAATAATAGTTAAAAAATAATATATAAAGTATTAATAAAGAGTTTGGCCTAATACTTTTATACTTACCATGTAGCTATAGGCTACTCTCCCCTCCTCTAATCTCCTCTAAGCTTACAAATTCAAAATCAAACCCCTCTTCTCTTCTCATTACTATTATTATGTACATATTAATATGTGCCTTAGAATCATATATTAAGAAAAACTTAAAATAAATAAACGACTACCATATTATTTAAAAAGTTTATTAATACGGACATGCACTGTGCCTGTAACTGCCACTACAACACTGCAGCTTTTCCTTTTTTTTGTTTTTTTCCTTCCTCTCTCTCTCTCCTTTCCTTTTTCATTGTTTTCATTTTCTTTTCTTTTTATAACACATAATAGCTTGGTAAAGAATGACTAAACCTTTAAATTCAATAGTTTGTTTTTAAATTTTAATATTTTGATATAATTAATTGAAAGTTTGGTTCTATCAAAAACTTAAAAATAAATATCTTCATCCCTAAATTTTTCCATGTAAAAAAAAAGAAGGATATATTTATTTTTTTTATTATTAATATATAAAATATAATTAAAAGTTAATATTAATTCTATTAATTATTTA